GGAGTCCTCACACATGCCAGTGGCGCCAGTAAAGACCTCCCAGCTGGGCCCCCGGAGCCGTGAGGCAGACATGCTCCCATCGGTCAGCGTGGCCCACACTCTGGCTGCCTGTCTCCCCAGAAAACAGGTGATGGGTGGAAGATGCCAGCCTCTGCCCCCTTCCCCAGCTGGCAATCCAGGCCACCGGCAGGGGCAGGCAGGGCAAGGGGAAGTCTCTCTGGCTGGTTTCACTTCCTGGTGTCCATGACCTGTCTGACAGGTTTAGGGAGGACACCAGGACAGGAAGGGTTTCCACACAGAAAGGAAACTAAGAATCTGCCTGTGTCGGCGCCCAGGGTAACTAATACCGGAACGGAACGGCGATGAGGCCCAGGGGCTTGGGGCTTGCACACCAGCAGGAGCCGTCTGAGGCACTCGGATGCAGAGGGGTGCGGGGATCCACTTCCCGTCCCAGGTGCCCCCAGTCCCCATCTCAGGGAGGACCTGAGGCCTTAGTGACTGGGTGATCGCTTCCACCCAACCAGCTGAGAAGTGGCAGAGCCAGCCTGAGGCTCTGGAGCCCCCTGCTCACAGCACTGGGGCCCCAGGCCTGGAATGCTGGCATCCTGGGGGAGGGACAGAAAAGGCTCTGGTCCCATTACCCTCATCAGCCAGTCGCTTCAGCCTACACACCCACACTCCAAACCGTCTCAAAATAATAACCTCCTTGTGAGTGGGTGGACCCATAAGGTAAGAGCTGGGGTGGGGCCCAGTGAGGCACCCCTCCCAGAAGAAAGACACAGGGATGGTGGGAGGGACAGAAACTCTGCACTTTCCACCCCCAGCACCAAGACTGGAGGGTCCCTGAACGCCCCGTGTTCAGGGGACGCTCTCACATGACTCTCCCTTAAGCACACTGCCATCAGGGTCAGGAATGGTCCTCCTTGAGGGTTACAGAGGCTGATTCTTCACCAGATAAGATTCTGGCTCCCCAGGCCAGCTGCGGAGAGGTGGAGACTGTGGAGAGTCCCGGGCACAGACAGGCTGACCGGCCCGTGCACATGCATCCTCCTGTTCCCTGCTAGGCAGTTTGTAACTGCTGAGCCCCCAAAGCTGTCCCTTCTCAGGGAACTTATTCCCTTCCTGCTCTAAGCAGACTGGCATGCACTGAGCCCCACTGCCACTGGCCACCCAGCCGGGGCCCACTCTGTTCGGCAAACAGTAGCCTCCCGGAACGGCAGCTCCAGCCTGAGTCTGCTCTGGGGCAGCAGTTCCCCCATGGGAGGAAATAAGCAGAGAGGGGCTGCAAACCTGGGCTGTTCTAGGCCTGTGGGGCATGCCTGCCTCTGGCCAGCACCTCTCTGCTCCCGCTGCCCTGCCCTCCTGGACCATGCAGTCTCCACAACGACCTCACCGGTCTCCTCAGCCCCCTCCCCTGCACACACAGTGGGCTGCTCTCGTTTCCTATGGAAGAGCCATGCATTCTACACTCTGGACATTGTACTGCTGAATAAAAATTGGGGGAAGCCATTGTTTTAGACTGAGCTTTTGCACTAGGCCCCAACAGACAAGGTCAAATGGAGTCACTCATGCCAAAACGTCCCATTGTCAAACCCAAACATTAAGGAAGTGGATAGATCCCCATAGTGACCGTTTCTCCTGAAAGTGGTCTACCTAAGTCAGTGCTAGAAGGAAATAGAACTCAGGCACATCTTGCGGCTGACACAGCCCTAGCTGCTACTGAGGCTCATTGGACTTTCTGTTTAAAAAACACCCCATTGCCCAAAGGCATTCCCCCTTCACCTGCCACACTGACTGTCTCCATACCCTGCTCAAGACTGAACCCATCACTCCTGGCTACTCCCTGCTTCCACTTGCAACTTTTGCCTTAAAAATCATCCTGAAATCCTAACGTGCCAGCACACATGATCCGGGGCCGCTGCACTGTTGTGGAGGCTGGGAGGTCATCCTAACCCAAATAAAATCTTTTGCTTTGCCTCAGCCTTCCTTTTTCGGGCTGCCAGTGCCTAGCTGCAGCAAGCGGAGGGCAGCACTGCAGAGTGGCTGAGCACTCACCGAGGACAAGGCCGGGTTCTCAGCCCCGTCTAAACGGGCCGAGCGGCGGAGCATGCATGTGGTGTGGAGGAGGCAGGGGCAGGAGGATGGCGATATGGCAAGACCCTGTCAAGAATACCTTTCCCCTCCTGTCCTTTTCTCCCTCCCTTACACGCTCTCATTAAAAAAGAAAAAAAGTCCAAAACCAAACCAACTACGATAAAGCCAACTGATGCAGGAATCTCAGTAGGGAAACCTGGCAGACAGCATACAGAACTGTTTTTCCCCCAAGTCTGTTTTTGCAAACATTAACATTTTAAACCAATCTATAATAAAAATCTCTATAATGACATATTTGTTTGTGGATAATACAATTCCAGAGCATAAAAAAACTGATGATGGTTTCATTTGGCCTTAAAAAAATAGGGACTGGTTCTCCAGAAAAAGCACTGTCACCCCCATTCTCTTACAGTCTTCACGTCTCCCCTACACATTGCTTCCTTCTAGAGGAGCCCCTCGGCCACTGCACCAACAGCCACGTCCACCTCTCCTACCACATCAGTCTCTTCACAGTGATCATGACAGAACTATCCCATCGCAGCCCACCGTGAACCGAAAAAGCCACTCCTGTGCATCTGACACAGAGCTTCTCTACGTGGCTCATTTAAACGGAAACACACACGTGTACACTCCTTAGCCAACCCTGTGGTGTAGGGCCAGTCTTTCTCCGAAAGTAGGCTTGCTGATCAGAGTTCCCATGCTGTCTATTTCATGGTTGGTTGGTTGGTTTGTTTGTTTTTAAGTTTGTTTCTTTCACGAGAGATAGGGAGGCAGCATCCTCAACAGGATGGCAGAAGTTAATGAGTTCAGTAAAGTCAATCTTAGGGTTTTCTTTTAAAGATCTTTTCTTTTCTTTCTTTTTTTTTTTTTTTTGTAGAGATTTTTGCCTTAGGGCGTGTGCACTTGCCAGAGACAGAGAGAAACAGTGACAGTTAGAGGGAAAGTGAGAAGTCATCCCCTGGTGGAAGGGATGGCTGCGCTCTCCTCCATTCTCTTTCTGGGGATCTTGGGGAAGCATGTGCATGCACCCAGCATGAGTTAAGCCACTGGGTCTGGGATCTGAACTGCTGCGGTCAGCCATCTGGGAGTCCAACGACATAACTGCTACGCCATCTGCTGGCCCCAGTAAAGTTGATTTTAAAGGGTCTTGAGTCTGGGCCAGCAAGCAGTGTGGTGGCTGAGGCTGCTAGATCCCATGTAGCTGACTGCACAGTTCAAGTTCCAGACCCTGCAGCTTGGAGAAAAGCACACATTTTGGCATGGTCAATCCCTCACCCGGGGGGTGGTGATTTCTCACTCACCCCAACCTCGTCTCTGTCACGTGAGCACACACACTATAGGGCATGCTAAGATAAATAAAAGGGGAGGCGTTGATGCCATGATCCACCTCCAGCCTCAGTCGGACCCAGTCATGGACATACATGCCTAATGTACTCACAGTGGTCTCTAGATGTGAATCTGGAACTGTACCATTTTATCTTTTAAAAAAGCAGAATGAAAACTTAAAAGACATTTAAAAAACAATCTGAGTGTGAAGTTCTTCTGAATTTTTCTTTTTTAGAAGTTTTTGCTATAGGGCACGTACACTCGCCGGAAAGACAGAGAGACAGAAAGCGAGAAATCACCCCACAAGGGGATGGCCACGCCGCAATCCCTTCTCCTCCATTCTCCTCTCGGGATCTTGGGCACACACGTACTCTCACGCCTGGTGAGAGTTTAAGCTGCCAAGTCTGGAACTCGAACCACAGTTGACTATGAGGGAGTCCAGTGATGTGACCATTATGCCCTCTGCTGGTCCTAAGTCCTCCTGGATTTTTATAACATGTTACCAATGTTTAGAAACTGTGTCCACATCTTTTTTGTTTGTTTGTTTGTTTTTTTGGAGAGGTTGCCAGACAGACAGAGAGAGACACAGAGACAGAAAGCGAGAAATCACCCCCCAGGGGGGATGGTCACGCCTCAATACCTTCTCCATTCTCCTCTCGGGATCTTGGGCACGCATGCACACGCGCCCGGCGTGAGTTTTAAGCCACCGGGTCCGGGACACGAACCGCGGTCGAGTACGTGGGAGTCCAGCGACATAGCCATTACGCTAACTGCTGGTTCCCTGTGTCCACATCTTTTAGACAGGGATTCGGAGTAACCCCACAATGGTCAAACAGGCATAGAGAGCCGACTCTCCCTCCACCCTGTCCTAGAGCACCGTGTTCAGAACTCGGATGACAACAGCCAGGCTTGAATCTCAACTCAAGTCACTACTTAGAACAGGACCTTAATTAAGTTACTTAACCACTGCATGACCGTTCTCCGTCTGTGAGTGGGGGTCTCAGCTATTTAAGTTGCTTCGTTTATTTAAGTGATGCTACGTTCAATTATGTAATTACAATAACAAGTACAACAGCCATAAACAGGTTCGGGAACAAACAGCTGCCTCTACAAGCACTGGTCTAACTGACGGAGCAGGACGGGGCGGACGGAGACGGGCCTGCCAGCTGAGCAGCAGCATGCCAAGGGCGTTACTCGGGAGGCAGCCACAGGAAGTGGGCCACATCAGACAAGCCAGGGGCAGGGAGGCCCAGGTGGTTAAGTATGGCTTTACTGGGCCTGCTCACCACCTGCCACCTAAACCCAGGCTCTGCCTGTGGAGCTTTAAAATAACACGGATGCCCTGGCATCCTCAGAGACTGACGGAAGGCTGATGAGGCGGGGCCCAGACGTTTCTCACAGCTCACAGACCCTGACAGCTGGAAGCCACAGGCGGGACCGTAAGCCCTCGAAGGGAGGATGCACACCCGGACCACACTGCCTAGCTTTTAGAGAAGTGGACGGTAGCCGGCAGGTTTCAAGCACCAGCCAGGCTTATCCCCTTCCAAGCTTCCCTATCACTCCAGGGGGTAGAAACCACCCACACAAACAGCCGAGGTTGGACCCCAGAGGCAAACAAAGGTGCCAAGGGAGAAGGCAGGCCTCTGTGGTGACAAACACTCCCACCCAGAATACTCCAGAAGGCGCCAGCCAGAGCTGCGGCTAAGCCAGACACCCCACCACCAGGGGAAGTGACACCTGTGCATCCCAGCCCCAGGGTGCCCCTGGCACGTCCTTTCCTTGCAGTGGACAGGCCATCTAGACAGAAGGGAGGCTGTGGCCTGGACCGAGGCTCTAGATCCATTCTCTTTCACCCACTGCAAGTCGGACACTCTCAGCAAAGACTCTTTAACATGTGTGCCCTGGGCCCCAGAATGACATCACAGAGGGGCAGAAGTGGAAAGGCAGACAGGAAGCACTGGTTACTAAGTAACAGGCCCCAGCCCACCTTTGTTGGCTTTGGTGACAGCAAGGAAGGCCTGATCAAGGCCACTGGCTATGCTAGCACCTTCTCTCCCGACAGGTGCTTCTTCGAGTCAGGGTGCTGCTCTGATCACCAGGTGGTCTCTTCATCTGGGCCCCCAAAAGTGCGGCCACGGTGTTTGCCCTCACTGGACGCAGGGCTGCTGACGGCAGAGGCAGGTAATGGCTCCCTCCTCCCGCCCCTTCTCCCCCCACGGTGGAC